CAAGTTCCTTTCCAGTCCTAGTATTCTATGATTCTATGACTACCTTGCCATACATTTTGGAGGCCGCCACCACAGCCAGAACCCTCACCACCACCCTCGCCAATGCCCACATGTATGTTTCAACGTGGGGCGAGGCGGCGACCAGGAGGCAGCGGAGGCCGTGTCTCCTTGTTTCCTTTCTTCCCCAATGCTGCTCTTCTGCCTGCCCCCTCCACCCTCAGGGTCGACGGCTGGTGCCAGAGCTATAAAAGGCCAGCCAGCAGCCTCAGTCAGGGCTGAGCCTGCAGAAAGACCAGAGGCGTACTCAGGGCTCCCAGCCTGGGGGCCTGGGACTGAGGCCTGGCCAGGGCCTCCTACCTTCCTGGGGCCAGAGGCCGACTACCTGCTCCCTGCATGGGAGGCTGAGGCCTGGCCCGGCCCGCCTACATTTGCCAACCTTGCAGAGGACCAGCCTGATCCCAGGCCCCAACCCCTGCCCAGGAACCAGGAGAAGCAGCTGCTGCTGCCGCCAAGACCAGAGGCTCCGCGCAGCCTGGCCCAGACGCCTGACACCGCCTGCACCAAGAGCCCAACTGAGCTCCACAGACCTGCGAGCCGCAGAGGACTGGGTCGGACTGCCGGGACCCCAGTGGGACGAACCTGCCATGGACTCCATGAGCACCCAGCCAGAAAGCCAGATACCGGCTAAGGGGGAGATGGGAAGTGGTCCAGTGGTTAGTGGCCCCAAGGCTGGAGCCCCCGCTGAGCCCATAGCAACCTGCACTTCTGCTCCTAGGGCCCTGTGCCCCCCCTGCCACCCACCTACCGGGTGGCAGTCTCCCCCTCCTTGCCCCTACTGCAGGCAACTGGCCTGCACTCCTCCTGAACAAGGCCCCCTAGCCTGGGTTTGTTTGTGGCCACACCCTAAACCAGGGTCTGGCCTTCCTTTGAACTACACTGTGGTTGTTGCTTTCACGCCCTGAACCAAGGGCCTGATGTGGGTGTAAACTACCGTATTTTCCGGCGTATAAGGCGACTGGGCGTATAAGACGACCCCCTAATTTTTTAGTTAAAAGATAGGGTTTCGTCTTATACCCCAGTGCCTCTCCGCCTCCTTTGCTCCCAGTGTCCCTGGTCTGCTGGAGACGGTCCCCAGCAGACCAGAGGCACCGGGAGCAAAGCCAAAGCGGCAGCAGCGGCCGGGGGGGG